CCTGGTGTGCCGGCCACCTCAGGGGAAAATTAAAGAGACCTTTGACTTCCTCTCGTGTAAATCACCGGGAGATTGCGTTATATTCATCTTTCTTTAAGCTTGTAAAAGATATCCGGGAGAAAAGTATGGAAAATAATGGTGATGAAATCGCTGTTCTTTTTCCTGAAGGATATGAAGCAATCCAGATTACATATTAACCAAGTGACAAGTTGCGATTTGTATGTGGATAATAAGTTGTTTGAAAGGTGGAATTATGACATTATGATTTCATTAAATCTTTTATTTCGAACTTTGTTATGATTTTTTCTTTATCAAGACATGGAAGGAAACATTGATTGACTCGATAGCACTGCGGCGGTGATAAGTCTCTCCTCGTCATATCTCATGCAAATTTTTAAACAGTTTTCTGACAGTTTTCAGATGATTTGAAATATCTTAGTTCCTGTCACAAGGAAATGATAACTGCTCGTATCTGCTCTTTGTAAGGAGATACCTATGTCGTTCAAATTGATTTGGTTGCAACTGGGTTTTACATGTTGTACTGCCGCTGACAAGTTACGATTTATACTCTTAGATTCTCAGTGTTTGCGGGCGTTCAATCAAGGTTTTCCTCTTTTTTTTTTTTTTTGGTTGTTTTTACTTCAGAAAGCGGAAATCTGCTGATATATATGAAAAATATCCATTTCCTGTCTTCTTTGGAGCGACCGATGGAAAGTTCATGGAGGAATACAGCGTCACGCCATCGTGATAACGTACATGTTTATGACAATTGATCGGTGTGAGGATACTTTAGTGTAGATCAGCCGACTTCAACATGTTTTAAATGACATACAAGTATATCAGTGTATCTTCAGAGGACTTCGGGTTGTTCAAATTCCATGAAATTATGTAATATCTGATTTTGAGCTTTTTTCGCGAATTGCCCCTATAAAAAGTAGAGGCAGGCCCGCAGAGATTTTTACATATTTAAAAACTAGAATATTATAACCAGCTTGGTGGGTAGTTTCAGTTCCAGAATCGGTGTACTTCTGGAGAAATTCAGATAAACGTTTTCCTTGTTTTACCCGACAACAAAAATGACCGAAACTGTACCGAGATGAATAATCTATTTGTGTGTTCACATTCGCTCTCAGGGAAAATTGAATGAGTCAAAGTGAAGACGAATGACGTCACTATGTATGGTAGAAGTGCCAATTTGTAATGTTGGATTTAGCTTGAGATAGAGAAATAAACATTTCACTCTTTTTTTGCGACGTTTTTGTATGAAAACGAGGCCCCAGGCCTCGAACAAGCAGTCGTTGTGACCATGGCAACAAGATTGCTGCGACCTTTAAAAAGGGGATTTTTGTGCATCCCCCCTGAGTGCCTAACTGCATGCAAAATTTGAAGGGGGGTTGAAAATTTTTCAAACATTTTTTGAAACATTTTTTTGTTACATTTGAAAGGATAAGAAAATTTTAATCATCATGATATAATGGAATCCCCCAGTTTAACCCTTTTAGTCGCACTAGTGACCTAGGCAGAATTTCTCCTCACACTATCAGTACAATATCAGGCAGACAAGTAATGAGAATACAGAAAAATATTAATTAGGGGATTAATGGTTGATTCAATTCCAAATTCTACAAACTAACATCAAATAAATTGTATGACAGACAGTAGGAAGAGTTACTAATGAAATCTTGAGAGTTAAAGGGTTTAGACACATATTGTAATCATATGTACCAGAAAGACAGCGAATAAATGTAACATACTCCAGTAAAGTGTTCTTAATATGTACAATGAAGTTTCAAACTCATTGAAATTAAGTTGACTTCATGATTCAGATTTTAGTGAAAGAAATGTGTAACATCTCTTCATATGGATGGAAAGAGAATGCTATTTATGATTTTTAAAATAGTAAATGCCAAAAACTTAAAAATGGAATTTACAAAAACAGCTAAAATATGGCATATCTATTCACTGAGATTTTAAGCTGGCACACAGAGATATAAAAGAGGCTTTGTGAAAAAACCAGGGCAATTAAATTAGAGATTCAAGAGAAGCATATGACATCAGCTAGTTTACTGACGTTCTCACCTGAATTCAATCTGAAAAGAGAGCTCTGCAACACTTCAGTTTTATCTTCTCACACTTGAATTAAAACATAAAATTTAATTATTTGCGGGCAGGTTAAGGAGGAAATTAAAGTAATGGATATATGTTACATAAAAAGAAAACCCCATACAATAAAAATAAAGCTGAAGCATATTACTTACATGTCTATGCTTCTGAATACAGCGTTAATGGGTATTTTTAAAGCAGTTATCTACATATGTAAACCGGGTGTAATATACGGTCGTAAAAGCAATTTTGTTCAAACCTTCCTCCTTGAAGGGTGCCTTGGGTATCAAATATATCAAGTCCAGTACCTCCAGAGTCATAAGCCGGGCTTTTGGGGCTACAAAATAATAAAATAATCAACGAGTTATGGCAGACCAATTTATCGCGAGTCAAGTGAGTATGGAATGTTTAAAATGTGCTTCATTTTTGCTGCATATACGGATTTATCGTTCTTAATTACTGATGAAATTCCGAGAGAGTGACTCAATTAATTTAAAAGAAAATATCCAAGCAGGTTACAGAAATGGTTCACAAATTGTAAACTGATGACGTGTTAACAAAACCTCCCTAAATTATGGTGCCGATACGAATTTATCGTTCATAAACTCTTATGAAATTCCGATATTGTACCTCAATGAATTCAACAGAAAATATTCAGGAAGGTAATAGAAACGGACTCTCAAAAACAGCTCTTGAATTCGAAAAATGGAAACAACAATAATTTACGCTAACCATGTGCTAAATTATCACCACTAATCGGCGTAACCACCAGCGCCTTTGTTTGAAGGCTTGGCATATTAACTCCGCCGACGCTCCTTTAAATCGTGACGATGGCGGCTTGCTTCCCGACGACTATTTACACCTCGTCAGAACAAAGGCAGCTAATTAGTGATCATATAAAAGGACCTCTTGTTGCAGCGTTTAGATCACCCCTGATGAAGGCACTAGACAGTAGTGTCGAAACGTTGAGTCTATGAATCGTAACTTCTTCGGTTACTTTCATTAAATCTGTAAACCAGACAACCATGTCTGATTGTCCACCTGGTTGCCGTGTGAACTTTAATATATTTTAAAACTTTTTATGCAAAAAAAAAATCCGTAAGATAACTTCTTTAATTTTCCCTTAACAACACGACTGTATTAAATATTCCAAACGACAGGAAAATAAATACCTTAAAGAATGCGGAAACTTCGAAATATTATTCGAGCGATGAACCGGCGCGAGGGTTTTTAAGAGATGATTGCCAAAGTCATTGTTTTACCGAAACGTGATTTTAATTTTAAACTGAAACTATTATCAAACGACGATTGGAACAAAGGTTTGAATTTTTCTGGGCCTTAGCGTGAGAGGAAACCCAGATAAGACACGACTTACCTCCTCTTCTTTCTCGGATCCTTTGTATTTTATTCTGCCTATTTTGGTGTCCTTTCCAACTTTCTTACGCGTTTTCCTCGACTCGCTTTACGCCTTTTACTTCTTGCTTTTTACGGTCGCTCTGTCTCTTTTTTTTCAGCCTTTTTTCGCTCAAAACCCTCTCTCCACAAACTTGAATTGTAACAATTTCCTGCCGTTGACAAAGCTTTAGCTCTGCCGGTATTGCCGCTTTGCGAGTTGATTAGAAATTACAAAATACTGAGAATTACTGTTCAACTACAACCTCACCAGTTTGACTTCCCGCTCAAAACGTAGGTTGCAAATTATTTGCTTACGCGGTTTCACATCTACTAGTCCACGTGTATATAATACCTAATAGAGTGCCCGCGGTAAGCTGCATTAGAGCTCAGCACTTCATTAGAGTAGGCGTACCTCATTAGGGTATGTGCATTTCATTGCCATCTCCCGGTGTCTCTTGGCGCACACTTATGGGTATCCAAGTTAGGAACGCAATCACGCCTGCGCATTACCTTCTCTCTCCTCTCCTCCATTACGTAATAGTTAAGATAGTTCCCGCAATGCAGTTGGCCGTGCATGCTAAATGTAACACCTTGTACGGTCGGTCCAAATTTTTTTGGCTTGATGGGTTATTACTATTTCGTATAATAATGGTGCTACGCTGCGCGCTGCGAGCTCCGCTATTAATTATTGTCGCGTTGGAAAGGTAAAGGTCGAGTGAAAGAACTGTAGCAAAATAATAAACGCTTTCCCCAAAAGCAGTCTGGGAATACAGCACAAATTAATAATCCGTGTAAACTTAGTAAGATGTATTTTGAAACAAAACTGACGTGTTGAATGGGGAAAACAATAGAAGTAAATCCTGAGTTATTTCCTTTCCCGCTCCGTGAGATTACTTTGAAAGCTTCCGAAAAGTCACACACCTGCCTACTAAATAAGGAAATGACTGTATTTACCATCCGTGTATTGTATTTAATGGTCAACAGCCTTACTTGAAGTATGAACAAATAAAGCAATCATGCAAACAAGAAAACCGACAAATAAGCAAAAGAAAACAAATAAACAAACAAAAAAAACAAAGAAATTGCCTTTTTTTCCTTTAAAAGACTAAAAATCAGGTAAACCTGCCCTGGAAAACTTAATGCACATGCATTATAAAGACGTATTTTGGTTGAAGCATAATGTCGTTTTCCAACACATGCGTGATATTGAAATCTACCATGATTTGCGCTTTATGACCAAATTAAATTCTTACTGCATTCTGGAGCATCTTGCATAAAAGCATTTCTTTTGATTGGTTTCGTTTCGTCCTTAACGACCCTGCCATTTTACCTAATGATAGATCTATCGGCAAGATGAACGGGCAGTAAATATTAATGAAAAGGCGCAGATTAAAAATGACCCTTCTTTAATAAATCGAAAGGAAACGTTTTTACAAAGAACCCATCCGTAGAGGTAACTTTCAGCATTTTTGATTTGTTCTTTTTTTGTTGTTATTTCTTAGATGCCGCGACACCCGGTCGTTGAGTAGAATGGCCTTACAACCATTTACCAATGAACAATTGAATTATTTCAAGTTTGCTTTCATCGTGCTGAATGAAATTCCTAAAGCATTACGGCAAACTGTTGAACAGATGTGGAACACTACCTATGCGTCACACCCTGGTTTTCAGTCCTGGGATGACTCTAATGCTGTACGTAACTTGTTCTTAAGTACTGAAGGTGGAGCATCCAAAGTCCCAACACATCTCTCCTATGATGAATGGGATTGCACAGACCTGTTCCAGGCCACCATCTATGCGCGGTCCTTTGCTTTGCTAGATAGTAAAGGCCATCGCAGGACACTCTTTGATTTTTATTTGAGGTCCTGTAAATTACCACGCGGTACTTTCCATTCCTCTGTAGTTAGCTCGACCGGAGATGACGCAGAAACCTTTGCACTGGCGATCAATCAGCTTCGTTTGTTGAGAAATTCGCTCTGTCATTTAAATAAATCTGAATTGGATAAAATAACATTTGATCGATACGTTCAACTCGTAAAAGACGCGATTAAAGCCCTTGGAGTCAATACTGACCCTATTGATGCTGTTGGAAGTTTGACTGAGTCTGACTTTCCCACCGAGAAAGTTCAGAAGTTAGAAGATGACGTCAGAAAAGAGCTTCAAAGAAGAAACGAATTCCTCCATGGCGAAGTTATTAATGACTTGAAGCTCTTACAGAAATCTCAAAAGGAAGGTAATGAAGAGCTAAGTAAGAAAATGGAATCTGCAAATGCCACTATCAAAGGCATGATTGAAACTAAGTTTGCCGGGCTTCAAACTGAAAGCAGAATGGTCAGAGAAGATGTTCAAGATGAGCTACAGCTTCTACGGGAATCACACAAAGACGACACCGAGAACCTGAAAGAGGCAATCACTAAGAAAATTAACGGGTTTAGGCAAGAGATGAAAGACCTTCTGAAGGAGTCGCAAAGTCCTGGTAAAAAGCAAATTAAAACGATATTTCTTTTGATTCTGATTTGACCAGAACTTGAACTGCGCATTTATTGGGTTTCACCGAGCGATTTCGTGATGTTTATAAAACCTCTTTTTTCGCGCTAATTACGATTTGGTGTCCTTCACAGTCGGTGTACAGTCTTGTATGTAATCGACACACAATGCGTTCTCTCTGAAAAAGCAATTTAATTTCTCACTATTTTAAATGTGTTTTTCTGAGTTAGAAATACTGCTACACCTAATTCATTTCAATACCGTTTCTCAGCGCAAAAACGAGGCTAACCTGTGAAAATAGACCTACAGGATTTCATACTCATTTTAATATTTTCTACTCAAGCAAAAGTAGTGTTTCCCGATACAGCTCTGATCTTTCATGCTATAGTCACCTCCTGCTACAGGATAGAGCGCAGTCGGGTCTTCCTTATTTGTTCGGTTCACGTCCCTTGTACCACAAAGGATTTTGGGTGCATGCTGATTGATCCTGTAAAAGCCGCTTCTTAAATTATACTTTTATTGTCTAAAACCAACTTTATTTGTAGGGTATAAACCACGTTTTTCACGATTGAATCCTCCTCCTCCTCATTTTACTGGCCGTGAAAAAGAATGTGAAGAGATTATTGGTCACTTGACTTCTGATTCGACGCAAATCGTAACAGTCTGGGGGTCACCAGGGTTTGGAAAGACGTCTATCGCAATCGCTGTGGGTCATCAGCTTCAAAAGCTCGGTCTACCTGTCTATTTTATCTCATTACGCGGACTAAATTCAAAAGGTGATTTGATGTCGAAATTACTTAGCCACTTTCGAACTGGTGAATCGAAAAATCAGAGTTTGACACCTGCCGATGAAATTGGTTTCATTTTTGAAAGGCTATCGGATCAATGTGTGCTGATGCTTGATAATGCCGATGATTTGCTTGAATGTGGCGAGCCAGATGTGAAAGAGGAGACTATAAATCTACTGAAAGATATCCTCAACCGCAGCGAAAAGGTCAAATTTCTCTTAACTACTCGGGAGTCATTGGCCTATTTGAATATGTTTCTACAAGGACACAGGTCCACCAGAATAGGAGAACTCGACAAGTCATCCTCGAATGCCTTAGTAAAAAAGCTACTTCCAGAAGGGAGCTCTTCTGACGCAGTTAAAATCGTGCAGAAGTGCGGGCAGGTGCCCTTAGCCATGTGGTTGTTTTGTAAGCCGCTCTCTGACGAATCCGTCCGATGTCGTGCAGATCTTGATGAATTAATGCTGTCTGAAAGTAGCCTACTTGAGTTGCTGGACAACCCAGAATATCCCAGTGATGCAAGGCTTAAAACCCTATTTGAATCGTCTTTCCAGAGACTGTCTTCGCAGGACCAAGAGGCACTGGTGTCTTTGAGCGTTCTTCCAGAAACATTTGATCTTGAGATTGCTACAGTTGTTTTAGGACTAGAGAGATCCACCGAAACTAAGCAAGTTTTGAGAAGACTGGAAGGGAGGGCTCTCATAGATAGATGTTCAAATTCCGGCAATTTCTCCATTCACAAACTTCTACAATCCTTTGCAAAAGACAAGGGTACACGTGAGATGGAAGAAACTATTTTGACTGCAAACACTCGCTTTTTATTATTCTACATCGACATGGCTGAGAAACTCAACGAGATGTTCCTGACAGGACAGTCCATGAAAGCATTGATCGAGTTCTTCGACAATGAAAGAATCATTGTAAAAAGTTTGATGGATGGCTGTACAAACGAAAAGGTAGCGAACAGAGTTTTTCAATTTTTGGCAAAAGCAGAGTTTTTCCTTGATACTGCTTATAGCGACAACCAACCTAAATTTGACACGACTTTTCAAACAGCAATAGAGGCAGCTGATCAGCTTGGACGAAGTGCTCTCCACAGACAACTACTTCAGTCCAAAGCGTTCGGCTTTATGACATTGGGAGGATGTGGGAAAACAAAGCTGTTGCTTTCAGAGGCCAGTAGACTTCAAAGTTTAACCACTACCCATTGTTCCGAAGAAAAAGGCAAACACTTGTGCTACTCTGGCATCTATCAGCTTGTGATAGGAAAGACGGAAGATGGAGTTGCAAGTTTAAAAGGAGCTATTTCTCTTCTGGGCAAAACTGCCGAGCACAAAGTTTTGAGACTTATAATACTTCAAATCCTTGCGATTTTTTATCGATGCACAAAAGGCAATTATGAGATGTCAGCCATGTTCTATGACAGAGCAGTGCAGGAATGCAGAGATGCAGAAGACATGCATTTTTTGGTAATTCCAGATAATAACGGACAAGCAAATTATTGGGACGAACGAAGAGCATCCTCAAGTGCAGACAATCTTGGAAACGAACCCATTGAAGTTGCAGTGATGTATTTTGTGGTCAGCGCAATTGTAAAAATATCTTCAACTGAAATTACCGATTTTTCAATCAAGTTACTGCTCAGAATGCTTCAAGGCATCGAGTTAACCAATGAAATGACGAAACCTGGCTGGTTTAAATTTCAAGCAAACACCATTAGTATGTTGAGTACCTTCCATAAGTATCAGGAAGGCTTATCAGCAACTCAGAAACTAATAACCTACCACCTAAACTCATTGCAAAAGGGAACGACAACTGATAAAAGCCTTACCTCAAGTCCACACAAAGAGGCTCTAGCAGAGTGTTATTTGCTTCAAGGAAACAATCAACATTGCCTAGGTCACTTCTCAGAAGCTTTCACTTCACAAAAGCATGCTCTAACCATCATCTTAGAACTCTTCGGTGAAGAACATGTGAAGACTGCCGATGTATACTCGGAATTAGGGTTTACAAAATACAAACTAGGGGATTATAACTCAGCTGCCGAGTTTTACAAGCTTGCACTCGACATTAGAATTGAATTGCTCGGAGAAGAACACGAAAAGACCGCTGAAAGCTACCATTGGCTGGGGGTTAACCAACATTTTCTCGGAGATAACACCTCAGCCGCTCAGTCTCACGAGCGTGCACTTAACATCAGAAAAGAGGCAGTGGGTGAAGAACACGAGGAGATCGCTCACAGCTACCATTGGCTGGGAATTACCCAATATATGCTTAGAGATTACACCTCGATCACTGAGTCACACAAGCGAGCACTAAACATCAGACAAAAGCTATTTGGTGAAGATCATGAGAACACCGCTGGCAGTTACTTTATACTGGGGATTTTCCAATATAAGGTTAGAGATTACACCTCAGCCACTACGTCACACAAGCGAGCACTAAACATCAAGCAAAAGGTATTGGGTGAAGATCATGAGAAGACCGCTGACAGCTACCATGAGCTGGGGGATACCCAATATATGCTTAGAGATTACACCTCAGCCTCTGAGTCACACAAGCTGGCAGTAATCATCAGACAAAAGGTATTGGGTGTAGATCATGAGAAGACCGCTGACAGCCACCATAAACTGGGGGTTACCCAATATATGCTTAGAGATTACACCTCAGCCTCTGAGTCACTTAAGCTAGCACTAAACATCAGACAAAAGGTATTGGGTGAAGATCATGAGAAGACCGCCGACAGCTACCATGAGCTGGGGGATACCCAACATATGCTTAGAGATTACACATCAGCCACTGAGTCACTGAAGCGAGCACTGAACATCAGACAAAAGGTATTGGGTGAAGATCATGAAAAGACCGCTGACAGGAACCATAAACTGGGGGTTACCCAATATATGCTCAGAGATTACACCTCAGGCACTGAGTCACTGCAGCGAGCACTGAACATTAGACAAAAGGTATTAGGTGAAGATCAAGAAAAGACTGCTGACAGCCACCATAAACTGGGGATTACCCAATTTATGCTTAGAGATTACACTTCAGCCGCTGAGTCACTGAAGCAAGCACTTAACCTCAGACAAAAGGTGTTGGGTGAGGATGATGAGAGGACCGCTGACAGCTATCATGAGCTTGGGATTACCCAAATTGAACTTGACGATTACACATCAGCCATTGAGTCACTTAAGCAAGCACTAAACATCAGAAAAAAGGTATTGGGTGAAGATCATGGAAAGACCGCTGAAAGCTACTATAAACTGGGGGTTACCCAGTATTTGCTTAATGATTACACCTCAGCCACTAAGTCACTGAAGCGAGCACTAAACCTCAGATAAAAGGTATTTGGTGAAGATCATAAAAAGACCGCTGACGGGAACCATAACCTGGGGTTTACCCAATATATGCTTAGAGATTACACCTCAAGCACTGAGTCACTGAAGGGAGCACTGAAAATTAGACAAAAAGGATTGGGTGAAGATCAAGAAAATACTGCTGACAGCCACCATAAACTGGGGAGTACCCAATTTATGCATAGAGATTACACCTCAGGAACTAAGTCACTGAGGCAAGCACTTAACCTCAGACAAAAGGTGTTGGGTGAGGATGATGAGAGGACCGCTGACAGCTATCGTGAGCCGGGGATTACCCAAATTGAATTTGAAGATTACACATCAGCCACTGAGTCACTTAAGCTAGCGCTAAACATCAGACAAAAGGTATTGGGTGAAGATCATGGAAAGACCGCTGAAAGCTACGATTTCGGCCAGAAGTGAGCCATGACAACAGAGCCAGACCTAAGGTGCGAGAAAGCAGAGCAAAACGAAGTAATCCTTATAAAAGATGAAGGAGAACAAGAAGAAATGAAGAATTTAGGAGAAGACTCGTCAGGGGAACCTTGATGGTCAGTAAGAACATGAAAAGCATCAGTCAGATATGGTTATGACGAATATGCAGACACGGCTACTCACCGCGTACGTCATGTCGCCTATCATCTTTCTAGGATTGATGAACCTACAACTATACAAGAAGCAAGATCAGGTGATCACGCTGCAGAGTGGAAAGTCGCTACGGATTCAGAATACATTTCGCTGATTGAAAACAAGACGTGGAGGTTGGTTGAATTACCTCCAGGACGGAAAGCTGTTGGATGCAAATGGATGTTTAGACTGAAACACTCCTGCAATGGGACAGTGGAACGATTCAAAGCACGCCTAGTGGCCAAGGGTTGCACCCAGAAATTTGGAATTGACTATGATGAAACCTTTTCGCCCGTAGTTCGTTTTTCTTCAATACGTTGTTTGCTAGCATTTGCAGTTCAGAATGATTTGCTGTTCACCAGATGAACGTAGAAACAGCTTTTCTCAACGGTAAACTTGATGAAGAAATCTGCATGCAGCCGGAAGGATACGTGAAACCTGGGGAGTAGCATCTGGTATGCAAGCTAGAGAAGTGGCTGTATGGGTTAAAGCAGTCTTCCCATTGTTGGAACAAAGTTTTTCGGGAGTGTTTTGAGAAGACTGGTTTTATTCAAGCCTCTGCAGATCCTTGCGTATTCATCGGAAAGGATGCATTAAATATTTTTGGAGTTCGCGTTGACGATTTGATGATTCAAGCAAGAAACATCACGGAGATGAGAAGTGTCAAGGACAGTTTAAAGCTGCAGTCTAAGATGAAAGATATGGGAGAGCTGCATTGCTATGTCGGAGTCTGTATCGTTCAAGATGTGAAAAACAAGTAGGTCTTCCTTCATCAAGGGCACTACGTCGAAAAGATACTCGAAAAGTTTGGGCAAACAGAAGCAAAACCGGTGTCTACACCTGCCGATGTGAACATCAAGCTGCAAAAGGAAGATGGTTTTAGCAGACCGGTTGATGTGACCTCGTATCAATCGATTGTAGGAAGCCTACTTTATGCTGCAATCGCAACCCATCCAGACATCGCCCAAGCAGTGTGAGTTCTGTGGCAATCCGACACAAAATCATTTAACAGCAACAAAGCGAATCCTCAGATATCTGAAAGCAACTGCATATCTTGGATTGAGTTACAAGAAATGTGCTGATGGAAATTTGATTGGTTACTCAGATGTAGATTGGGCGGGTGATATAGATGACCATCCTTCCACTTCAGGAAACGTGTTCTCACCGGCGTTTGGGGCAGTAAGTTGGCCAAGCAAAAAGCAGGCTTCCGTCGCATTGTCGACAGCAGAAGCAGAGTATGTAGCACACAGTACGGCCACTCAGGAAGCAATCTGGCTTCAAAGGTTGTTGGCAGACATGGCAGAACCTCCAGAGGGACTAACTGAAATATATGAAGACAACCAATGAGCTATTTCGATGGTTAAGAATCCCGTGGGCCAAGTCAGGACCAAGCACATCGATATACGTTACCACTTCGTTTGCGAAAGAGTACAAGACGGAGCGATCGCTTTGAAAGACATTGGTAAAGACGAGATGATTGCTGACATCCTTACGAAACCTTTGCTTAAGCATCGCTTTGAGAAACTTGTTACTAAGCTAGGCATAAAGACAGTCAAATAAGCAACGTCAAAAGTGGGAGTGTTGTTATAATGTATATTATGATTTGATTGTTGTTATTTGAATTTAATATGTTGTTAATTTGACTTATGATTGGTCCAGGTGTTTCTTTCCCTTTTGTTATTCAAACTTTGTGTTAAATTAGCACATATATTTTTTTGTTTTTTTCTCTCAGTATTGTAACCGTTTTTTCGTGTGAGCGAAATAAAAGAAGCAAAAGTTTCTTTTCAATGGTGTAAAATTATTAGGGCCCAGGAAGGCTTATCAGCAACTCAGAAACTAATAACCTACCACCTAAACTCATTGCAAAAGGGAACGACAACTGATAAAAGCCTTACCTCCACACGAAGAGGCTATAGCGGAGTGTTATTTGCCTCAAGGAAACAATCAGCATTGCCTGGGTCACTTCTCAGAAGCTTTCACTTCACAAAAGCCTGCTCTAACCATCATCTTAGAACTCTTCGGTGAAGAACATGTGAAGACTGCCGATGTATACTCGGAATTAGGGTTTACAAAATACAAACTAGGGGATTATAACTCAGCTGCCGAGTTTTACAAGCTTGCACTCGACATTAGAATTGAATTGCTCGGAGAAGAACACGAAAAGACCGCTGAAAGCTACCATTGGCTGAGGGTTAACTCACATTTTTACGGAGATAACACCTCAGTCGCTCAGTCTCACGAGCGTGCACTTAGCATCAGAAAAGAGGCATTGGGTGAAGAACACGAGGAGACCACTCACAGCTACCATTGGCTGGGAATTATCCAATATATGCATAGAGATTACACCTCGACCACTGAGTCACACAAGCGAGCACTAAACATCAGACAAAAGCTATTTGGTGAGAACACCGCTGGCAGTTACTTTATACTGGGAATTTTCCAATATAAGGTTAGAGATTACACCTCAGCCACTACGTCACACAAGCGAGCACTAAACATCAGACAAAAGGTATTGGGTAAGGATCATGAGAAGACCGCTGACAGCTAAGCATATATTGGGTGTCCCCCAGCTCATGGTAGAGATTACACCTCAGCCTCTGAGTCACACAAGCTAGCACTAAACATCGGATAAAATGTATCGGGTGAAGATCGCGAGAGGACCGCCTATCATGAGCTGGGGGATACCCAACATATACTTAGAGCATACACATCAGCCACTAAGTCACTGAAGGGAGCACTGAACATCAGACAAAAGGTATTGGATGAAGATCATGACAAAAAACGCTGACAGGCACCATTAGCCGGGGGTTACCCAATATGTGCATAGAGAGAGTGCACCCCAGGAACTGAGTCACTGAGGGGAGCACTGAACATCAGACAAAAGGTATTGGGTGAAGATTATGAGAAGACCACTGACAGGCACCATAAACTGGGGGTTACCCAATATATGCTTAGAGATTACACCTCAGGAACTGAGTCACTGGAGAGAACACTGAACATCAGATAGAAGGTATTGGGTGCAGATCAAGAAAAGACTGCCGACAGCCATCATAAACTGGGGGTTACTCAATATATGCTTAGTGATTACACCTCAGCCACTGAGTCACTGAAGCAAGCACTTAACCTCAGACAAAAGGTATTGGGTGAAGATTATGAGAGGACCGCTTACAGGCATCATAAACTGGGGGTTACCTAATATATGCTTACAGATTACACCTCAGGCACTGAGTCATTGAAGCGAACACTGAATATCAGACCAAAGATATTGGATGAAGATAAAGAAAAGACTGCTGACCACCACCATAAACTGGGGGTTACAAAATATATGCTTAGAGTTTACACCTCAGCCACTTAGTCACTAAGTCGAGCACTGAACATCAGACAAAAGGTATCGGGTGAAAAACATGAGAAGACCGCGGACAGCTGCCATGAGCTGAAAGTTAGCCAATATATGCTTAGAGGTTACACCTCAGCCTCCGAGTCACACAAGCGAGCACCAAACATTAGACAAAAGGTATTGGGTAAAGATCATGAGAGGACGGCTGACAGCTACCATGAGCTGGGGGATACACAAATTATACTTGGAAATATCATATCAGCCATTGAGTCACTGAAGTGAGCATCAGACAAAAGGTATTGTGTGAAGATCATAAAAGGACCGCTGACAGGCAGCATAAACTGGAGGTTGCCCAATTTATGCTTAAAGATTACACTTCAGGCACTGATTCATTGAAGCGAGCACTGAACATAAGACAAAATATATTGTGTGAAGATCATAAAAAGACCGCTAACTGGCATTATAAACTGGGGGTTACCTAACATATGCTTAGAGATTACACCTCAGCCACTGAGTCACTGAAGCGAGAACTGAACATCAGACAAAAGGTGTTGAGTGAAGATCATGATGGGGACCGCTGACAGTTACCATGAGGTAGGGATTACCGAAATTGAATTTGGAGATCATGATGGGGACCGACATCAGCCACTGAGCCACTGAAGCAAGCACTGAACATCAGGGAAAAGGTACTGGGTGAAGATCACGAAAAGACCACCAATAGCCAACATTAACTAGGGGTTACCAAATAAATGCATAGAGATCAACCCTCAGCCACTGAGAACTGAAGCGAGCTCTAAACCTCAGACAAAAGGTAGTGGGTAAAGATAACCAGGGGGACCGCTGACAGCTACCATAAGGTAGGGATTACCCAAATTGAACTTGGAGATCACACATCAGCCACTGAGTCACTGAAGCGAGCACTAAACCTCAGACTAAATTTATCGGGTGAAGATCATGAGAAGACCGCTGACAGCTACCATGAGCTGGGGATTACCCAAGTTATACTTGGAAATATCATATC